TACTAGATGTTAGCATGGTGGAACAATGATGTCGGCCTCCAAATACATGAACCAACTATTGTGTACTCCCTCCGTTCCTAAATGTAAGTCTTTTTAGAGATTTCACTACAAACTACATACAGATGTATATGGACATATTTTAGAGTGTGGATTCACTCATTTTGATCTGTATCTAGTCCATAGTGAAATCTCTAAAAAGACTTATATTTAGGAATGGAGGTAGTAAGTGGCATGATCATTGGGGACCCACATGTACACAAGTGGGACCGGAATTTCAAACATGTTGGGTCACATATTTTAGCTTGGTGGACCCATGGTGTCAGCTTCTCAATACATGAACCAACGGCCGCGTGCATGGCAGGATCATTGAGGAGCTGCATATACACAAGTGAGACCGATTTTTTGTGTCCCAAATATAAGCATGGTGGGCCCAAGATATCATCCTTTCAATAAATTAATATGTTAAAAGGTTGGGGAAACATGAACTTGAACACAAGACCTCGTACTTTTGAGATGAGCACCTATCCAGCAAGCCGACCTAATTATAACTTCTCTTAGATAGTTGTATGTGAAATTTCTTATACATGTACAAGCAAGTGCTGGAACAATGTAGATATGCTATCTGATATGAAGGAAAACCTAGATATCCATCTCAATAGAAAATACTAGAGGCCGAATATAATCCATAGATAAAGAGCATATAAGGAATCGATGAAGCAACCTTGTGGGTGGTCGATCGCTCCCCAAACACTTTGTCTACTCTTTCTCCCATACTTCGGATCCCAAGAGGTGTGGTTAGAGATGCCCGCCCTTTCATATTGTGCACGTGATGCATAACTGATGCGATGTAGGATTGACAAAACCTAACTAGAGAGTTGGTGTCTTCCAATGTCATGTACATATATGTACCACTATTGGAATGCAATAACTGAAATAAAAATTTATCATATAAACTAGGAATATATAGCTATGGGAATGCAACAATAGGCCACATGATTACAACTAAACATGAATGCTCAATGGGTAAGTAGAGTCAGTGCCATAGTACGGATTGAATGTGGAACTAGATTGAGTCAATCGTAAGGTATCAAACACCAATTCTACTTCCTCAATGGTTGTAGGCATGTACTGGTAATAATCTCGTGATCTATCATTACAACTATATATTGTTGGTTTAGGTAGTACAAATTTTTATTTGCACTTGTCTATCAGTACACGCGAGATTATAATGAAGCCAAAATTATGTGCACTTGTCTACCAGATTTTTATTTTGGTGAGATTTTGTCAGTACATGGAATTTGTTTATATACCCATTAATCACATGCTTGTCCAACAAAACATACATAAATAATTAGTTTACTAGCACACTGAGTGAGTTCATTATGTTAGCCTCAATCACTGGGCCGCCATGTGAGCGCTTAGCTTTCAGTAACGAAGGACTCGTTTATTGGGCCCGAGTCAATGGGCTGCCATGTTTGTGAGGACCCGAATTAATCACATGTTGGTCCAACTGAAAACACATAGCAGAATTAGTTGTGCTAGCATATTGTGTAGGTTCATCATGCCAGCCTTAGTCAATGGGTAACATGTGAGTGACTATAACTAAGTAATTATGGGCTCCTTTATTGGGCCTGAGTCACTGGGCTCTGTGGGTGACACAATCAAATCCTTGCTATCTTAGAATTGTCTTTTTAAGCCTCCATCAATGTGAACTAGGATAGCACCAACTATCTGAACAACGGGATAAACATCTTTGAGGCCCTTGTGTTTGAATCCTCTAAATCCTACCATCTTTACTTACTTGCAAGTTATCATTTTTTCGCTATGTAGTACTCTTTATAGCTTGCCTATTAAGTTGTTTACTCTTACTCTGAGTTGTGCGAAAACGGCCACCCCTAAAAACTTGAAACTACGTGCTTTTGTTTCTTGCTAGGACTATTCACCCCCTCCCGTCCATAGACCTCGATACCAACACAGTCCCCATCGACACAACCCAAGCCAAGTTGTTATATTTTACACAACATTACTAGTTCCCTAGTCTTGAGACCTCAATCTCCTTCACTGGTTCAGGTGTTGTTCTAGTGAGCTAAGCACCTCACAATATTGGGGGTACCTAGGATTTCCTAGAAAAGTCCGCGTGAGCTTCTGTGAGATTGTATGGCCTAGTAAGGTCGACACAATTAGTCTACCCATAGAGGAGGATGAGCCTGTCACCAAGGCCAGATGTTTGGGGAAAATCTCACTCTGTTCCCATGTGAATTACGTATGTGTACCTACACCGAATCAAGGTGTTGCTGTGGTGCACAACACAATTGGAGCAAGTTGTGGTAGAGGTCTTCCAAGCAGGAAGAAACTAGGCATCATGGATCCCAAGGATGACAAAATGAATTTGGTAGTGGCAGTGAGTTTCTTTTTGAAGGAATGCCTCACGACGCAATTTATTTCAATTCCAACGGAGTTACATCATTTATTACATGATGCTGCAAAAACTTGGGTGGATCATCCTCCCAAGAAACTACAAAATTTCAATCATATGAGTATTTGCTAGCTTATGGGCCGCATTCCTAAGACAATGTTGAAATGGAACTCCATCGATAGAGCGGGCTAGAGCAAAACAGTCTACAAAATTTGTTGAGTAGGGGCTGAAGACATCAATCCCACCATTGCACACTTTCATAAGTTCCAAGGAGTCAGGTTCTATACTCACTCATTAGCATCCCAGGGAGTTCATAGTCACTCACGAGCATCCCAGGGAATCCATACTCACTCGTGAGCATCCTACATAATCCAACAACTCAATTTCTTTAGAATGCCTCCAAAGTAATGGCATCAAGCAAATGATTTCGAGGACAAGCCACACTCACAACAACTTCTCCCAAACTGTTCCTAAGACATCACCCATAGCTCTGGTATCATCCTCATGGAAGGCTGCATCAGTGTTAACCTTATAGCAGCCCCGACTCAACTATGACCAACCAACTTCCTGAGGGTGGTTGTTGTGCGTCACTGAATCATAGTTTGCAGTCAGGGCATGAGTCAGAAATGTTGTCTGGGGTGGTGTCACCATTGGCTCGCCCTACACAAATTCCCACCGCTACCACCACACAAACCAACAAACTAGAACGACATACTCTTGCATGCCAAGCATTCTGAGAATTGGGGAGTTCTGATTCGGATTACATAAAATGCCCTCGAGCAGAACAAAATCAAAACAATCAAAATGACAAGTGCCTATTCAATAACTTCATCTAGCCCCATCTCCTTCCATACTTAGTTCTTCAAAGACCTTGTCCGTCATCTCTGCTGGTCTAGACCCAAACTGGTGCTCCCACTCCGTGTAGTATGCAAGTCGCACTTAAAAGGTGCTCGACTTGGTTTTGTACCACGCCACAAAATCCTCTATTAAGTGAGCACTCAAGGGGATGATAAGAACTCTCTCCACGTCAATTGGTAAAAATATCTCCCTGGTAAGTTTTTCATCCCAAAGAGACCAAAGTCTGGGTTGATTAATTCCTCAGCCGTACACAAGATAACATGCCCCTTCAAAGCCTGAATCTTCCTTGTATTATTATTTAGGATCCAATGATCTTCCCAAATGTTCATCGTTTGATTCGACCCCACTTTCCAAGTATGGCCACGTCTGAAAGTTTGCAAACCAGGAACAATACTTCGCCAAGTATATGAAGAGCCTTTTTTGGTCCATCACTTAACAGGCTATCATCAGGGAAGTATTTAACTCTCAACACTTAGGCACGGAAGGAATCGGGATTGCTTAGTAGCCTTCAAGTTTGCTTTGACTACATAGCGAGATTAAAAAATACAAATCTCGAAAGCCTATACCTTCCCCTTTTTTGGAATACACATCCTCCACCATGCGCGCCAGTGCATCCTTTTCTGATCCTCCGTATCAACCCACCAGAAAGTAGACATTGCATCATTAATTTCTTCAGAGAGTTTCTTACGGAGCTTAAAAATAGCCATGTCAAAAAACAGGGATATGTTGGATAACTGCCCTCCACAATATTTGAACTATCCTTTTTCAGAAGATGAGTAATACTGTCACTCCTATCTAGTTATATCATGGTTAGGGACCAAGGTATTTATCTGAGATAGATTCAGATATAATATTTAGCTCGATTTGTGCTTTTAAATCAACATTTATGTTTGGACTAAAAAATATATTGTATTTACCTTTGCTTACCAACTAGCCTGAGTTTGTACAATATTCATCTAGCACTTATTTGAACAAGGTTGCAGTAATATTCATCTAGCACTTATTTGAACAAGGTTGCAGTAATCAAATCAGCCTTCATAAGTATTAGGGAATCATCAACAAATTGTTAAACTGCGGAATTTAGTAGCTTCTAGGCTTAAGCACGAACAATGTTACTTTTTCCAGCTTCCGTTTTCTTTACGCGGAGAAAAGATTTAGGTGCCATTGTCCTTTATATCTTTGGCAAATTGTAGTGTTTGTTATTCTTTTTCAACTTTGATGGTCGTTTGTGATGGTGTGTGAAGTAGCGTGTAAGTATATTGTCTGTTTCTTTCCATCGGTCCGGACTTTTTAAAATACGCATGGCAGATTCCCAAAATGGAAGCTGCAAGGAACCTTCCCATAAACAAAAAGTGTTTTAATGGCGTCTGTGAGCCAAAGATTTGGGCATGAGACGCTAAGCCAGAATGCACGTCCTCGGAGGATGAGACGAACACGAACGGTCTAGATGAGGATGACGTGGAGCCACGTGTCAGCAGTGTCTGCTCCCGCGCAGCTATATAAAGGAGCACAACTCCAGCTCACCCTCCGCATCTTTCATTCGTGCCTGAAGCAGCAGCCATTGCCCATTGCTAACGAGAGTGGAGTGGTAGAGCAGTTCGAGTTTGCCTTTCTCTCTTGCTTGATTGGTTGATCGGTGACTCGATCCATCGTCGGAGGTACATATAGTTAGCGAGGAATTCTCCGGCCGGCCACCGGCGACGACGACCGCAAGTGATCCGTGAGGATGGTGAACACGACGGCGGCTATGGTGAGCGGCGGCAAGGGCGGCGTGCTGCCGCTGGCGTCCCTGAACCACATCAGCATAGTGTGCAAGTCGGTGGAGGAGTCGCTCGACTTCTACATGAACGTCCTCGGGTTCACCCCCATCCGCCGGCCCGGCTCCTTCGACTTCGACGGCGCATGGTAATCCAACCGGATCCTCAGCTCAATTCGTAGGAGCGTCAGTGTTAATTGCACTGCTCTGAATCTCTGATAATGGTTTTCTTGTTGCTGCGAGTGAAGGCTGTTCAACTACGGGATCGGCATCCACCTGCTGCAGTCGGAGCGTCCCGACAGCTTACCAGCGAAGAAGGAGATCAACCCCAAGGATAACCACATCTCCTTCCAGGTGCGTTTCGCGTAGTTAATTTCGATTTGGTTGCGAACACTGCTGCTATGGCTGAGGTGGTTACGATATGTCGTCCGTGAATGAAAGATGGTAACGGTTGCCTTCCTACTATTTTTTTTTTTGACCACAGTATAATCACATAGGCTCACAATACACTCGGTCTCTACAAACACGCGCGCGCGGCAGACCGATACAACATCTTGAGACTGACGAAGTCATCACAGATATCTCGTAATCGATGCGACCATCTCCTCCTATTGAACAAATTTGTAAGGGTCCTCTTTGTACGAGAGGAAGGAAATTAACTTGCTCCGTACGTAGGCGAGATAGGTTAGGTTCTCCGTCGTCGTTAGCTCCTCCTTTTTATGCCCGTTACGTTTATCCAACCGTTGTTTGCACGTGCGAGGGTTGCTTTCAGCACAACTTGATACAACGTTATACCTTATGCGGAAGGAACTTGTTCGTCCTACCCTTAACCAAACTTCAAAATTGAAAGAAGCCAATGATTAAACGAGATATGTCTTCTAACGAAGCGCGCCAGACCCTGAGGCAGAGGCAGAGGCAGACAACAAACATGGCGGGATGCATGTGTTACACAGCCGGCAAATTGAAGTGCTGGTGTTCACATGCACATAAAAGTGGGTGTGACTGTGAGTCCAGTGCTTGCACGTCACATGTGCACACAGTGCGGTTTTATCCCACGGTACATGCACTTACCGGGTCGCTGTCCACGGTGACAAAGGTGGATAGGCATGAAGAAATGGGCGTAGAAAGTGGGCATTCAATCGTTCGGTGGTAGCCATGCTGCGTCTAGGAACCGTGAACTGGTTGGCCACGTTGCAACACAAAGTTCCTCGGACCCGTCTTCTGTGGAAAGGCTATGTATGCCTACCCAGGAAAGGCTGCCCAACATTTTTCGAACGGTAGGTGCAATTCGAGTTAGGCAAAATTAATATCTCTCTCTCCCTCCGTCTGAAAATATTTGTCATCAAACGAAAGGAGTACTCCCTCCGTTCCCAAATAATTGTCTTTCTAGCCATCTCAAATGGACTACAACATACGAATGTATGTAGACATGTTTTAGAGTGTAGATTCACTCATTTTGCTCCGTATGTAGTCACTTGTTGAAATCTCTAGAAAGACAATTATTTGGGAACGGAGGAAATATTATTTTGCGAAAATGATCCAGATCTATTATCAAAGCTCAGCGAAAATGATTAAAGTAATTTGGAAGTACAAAGTTCAGTGTTCCAAAATGTTGCAGCATGCATATGTGGTCTAGATTCAGAACCACCAAAAAACCTAGCCTCAAGAGGGTTGCTTGTGGAACTCTCTAGAACGCACGTATGCATTGCATGTCTTTTCCTAACTGGTCGCCCGTGGCCAAAAGCAGTTCGGTCATCTCCATCACCAACAGAGCAGGGGGTTGCTTTTCCCACAAACAAGGCCACATGGATGATAGATACCTCCACAGCTTGGTCCCAGCAGCAAGACAGCTCTCTCCCTCTCTCTCTCTCTCAAGGAAGTATTAGGGTGTGACGAAAGGGACGTCGGCGTCTTGTCGCCGGCGACGGCCCGCATGTGTGCCGCGAGTAACAGTGCCGTTATATGTGCGATCGATCGGTTCTTTGGATCAATCATGGGTGACAGCTCATCTTACTACATCGGTGACCGACAACGACTGGTCGGGCTGGTGTGCGCACGTACGTGCGCGGCGCATAGATCTTTAATTTCACGCGTTGGTTTCTTGTCCGTCGTGTTGCACGGGTTCTCTGGCATGCACGATGGATACCAGGCCTAGTCACCGCTCACCACATAGAAACGAGTTGCATGCCGAGTCACGGTGTCTCACTAGCTCAAGAATGTGGAAGTCCACTTCTGAGATCAATTTTCTTTCACCAAATAACAAAAACCTTCAGAGACTAATGGCCGAGCAAAATGCGTATTTGTTTGCAGTGCGAGAGCATGGTGGCGGTGGAGCGGCGGCTCAAGGAGCTGGGCATTCCATACATCCAGCGGTGCGTGGAGGAGGGCGGCATCTACGTGGACCAGATCTTCTTCCACGACCCCGACGGCTTCATGATCGAGATCTGCAACTGCGACAACCTCCCGGTCGTCCCGCTCGCCGACCAGACCTTCGCCATGGCCGCCTGCAAGAGGGTCGCCTCCGTCAAGCAGCAGCAGGTGCCCATGCCGGTCGCACAAGTAGCGCAAGCAACCCCTGCTCCCACGGCGGCCGCGGCTTCGCAGTGCATTCCCGCGCCGAACCCGGCCTTGCAGCGCGTCGGCGGCGAGGAGGCGGCGCATATCTCGTGCGCGTGAGAGGTGGGAGGCCGGGGTAGCCAGGCCGCCCAACTGGTGGCGCGCTCCGTGGAGTCGTGGTTTTTGTATATTGTGATATAACAGTGTGCGTATGAATAAAGTGAGGGGAGCAGAGTGTGGTTTCAGCTTCAAATCTGCGTCTCGGAGCGGCCTAGGATGAGCCCTCTGTTTGCTCTGTTTTTGCTCGTGATCCTTCGAACTAGTAGTAGTACTCCCTCCCACACTAAAAAGTTTATATATTTTTTTCTTCGAACAAAACCTAAAATTCTTTTCTTTAGAATCACCTTTTTTTTAGCGAAAACACCCGAGCCTATTTATTCATCAAATGGAAAATTTTACATAGCCCGGGGGCTCCAAAAGGCAGACATGACGGCCTTGCGGAAGATGTAAAGAGTCCTTCGCAATGTTATGAGCATCAACATTGTCCACTCTCCTTTTAAATTTAAACATAAAATCTCCTAGTTCATCACTCAAACTCGCAACCTCCTTAGTGATCATGGAATTCTCTCATGCCACATCTGCAGGCTGTGTGAAACAATATGGGAAGTGTTAAACCCTTTGTCTGTTAAACCCTTTGTCTCAGGCCGCATTGTATATATTGGACGAAAGCCTTGGCGTACAAGTTGCAAAAGAGATCGATCAGAGATCGTTACAGAGAGGAAAACAGAGAGAAAAACAGGAGGGATACGAGTGAAGACCAGATAGAGAAAGGTTACAAGTTTAAACAGTTTTCTAACCCTATACGGTTTATTCTAACACTCCCCCTCAATCTGAACCTCAAAAAACTTTACCGAGATTGTGATTGTACTTTGTGAAAGATTATGCAACTCACGATATATTGATCGCGTGCAATATGCATGTATATATAGCTCCCCCATTTTAAAGGCGATCTAGATGGCGAACCCCGCTGCACCTCACGGTCGCCGGTTGACGCTAGCGCCCAGGCCTAGGCCACCGGCGGCGTACGTCACGGCTGAGAGCTCTGGCGGATCAAGGTTCTCCTGCCTGGGAGCCGAGTATGGTTCTTCCGAGAAGAGACTCCCCCTGGCCTCAGCATCGCCATGGCCCTAGAGGTCTTACGCCACGAAGATGAGGGCTCGGGATGGACGCGGTTGTCGGTAGGAGGAAGAAAACTGAAGCAGAGTTGGTGCAGGAATTTTGGATCGATGCTGGTTTCCCGATGCCGGCGTCAAGGTTTTGGGAACGGCGGCCGTCCACATCGCCGGAGCCTCCAGAGTCATCTTGCAGGAGTCCCATCATTTCCTTCCCCACCGATTGTTATCCCCCTTTTTTAGGGATCTTGATCTTATCCCTTCGGGATATGATCTTATTCCTTTTAAGGGGGGATCTTGGTGCGCCTTGACCAGGGGTGTGGGGCCTTGCCCCCACTACCCACGTTCATGTGGGCCCCCCATGCAGGTGGGCCCCACTCCAGAACCTTCTAAAACCTTCCCGGTACAATATCAAAAAATCCCGAACATTTTTCGGTGGCCAAAATATGACTTCCCATATATTAATCTTTACCTCCGAACCATTCCGGAACTCCTCGTGACGTCTGGGATCTCATCCGGGATTCCGAACAACATTCGGTAAGTGCACACTAATTCCCATAACAACTCTAGCGTCACCGAACCTTAAGTGTGTAGACCCTACGGGATCGGGAATCATGCAGACATGACCGGGACAACTCTCTGGCCAATAACCAACAGCAGGATCTGGATACCCATGTTGGCTCCCACATGTTACACGATGATCTCATCGGATGAACCATGATGTCAAGGATTCAAGCAATCCCGTATACAATTCCCTTTGTCAATCGGTACGTTACTTGCCCGAGATTCGATCGTCGGTATCCCAATACATCGTTCAATCTCATTACTGGCAAGTCACTTTACTCGTTCGGTAATGCATGATCCCGTGACTAACTACTTAGTCACATTGAGCTCATTATGATGATGCATTACCGAGTGGGCCCAGAGATATCTCTCCGTCACACGGAGTGACAAATCCCAGTCTCGATTCGTGCCAACCCAATAGACACTTTCGAAGATACCCGTAGTGCACCTTTATAGCCATCCAGTTACGTTGTGATGTTTGGCACACCCAAAGCATTCATACGGTATTCGGGAGTTGCACAATCTCATGGTCTAAGGAAATGTTACTTGACATTAGAAAAGCTTTTAGCAAACGAACTATACGATCTTGTGCTATGTTTAGGATTGGGTCTTGTCCATCACATCATTCTCCTAATGATGTGATCCCGTTATCAATGACATCCAATGTCCATGGTCAGGAAACCATAACCATCTATTGATCAACAAGCTAGTCAACTAGAGGCTCACTAGGGACATATTGTGGTCTATATATTCACACATGTATTACGGTTTCTAGTTAATACAATTATAGCATGAACAATAGACAATTATCATGAACAAGGAAATATAATAATAACCATTTTATTATTGCCTCTAGGGCATATTTCGAACAGTCTCCCACTTGCAGTAGAGTCAATAATCTAGTTCACATCACTATGTGATCGTAATGAATCCAACACCCATGGGGTTTGATCATATCTCGCTTGTGAGAGAGGTTATTAGTCAATGGGTCTGAACCTTTCAGATCCATGTGTGCTTTACAAATCTCTACGTCATCTTGTAGATGCAGCTACCATGCACTATTTGGAACTATTCCAAATAACTATTCTACTATATGAATCCGGTTTACTATTCAGAGTCATCCAGATTAGTGTCAAAGTTTGCATCGACGTAACCCTTTACGACGAACTATTTTACCACCTCCATAATCGAGAAAAATTCCTTAGTCCACTAGTCATTAAGGATAACTTTGACCGCTGTCCAGTGATCCATTTTTGGATCACTCTTGTACCCCTTGACTGACTCATGGCAAGACACACTTCAGGTGCAGTACACAGCATAGCATACTGTGGAGCCTATGTCTAAAGCATAGGGGACGACCTTCGTCCTTTCTCTCTCTTCTGTCGTGGTTAGGTCTTGAGTCTTACTCAATACTCACACCTTACAGCCAAGAACTCCTTTGCCGATCTATTTTGAACTCCTTCAAAATCTTTTCACGGTATGTGTTCATTTGAAAGTACTATTAAGCGTTTTGATCTATCCTTATAGATCTTGATGCTCAATGTTCAAGTAGCTTAATCCAGGTTTTCCATTGAAAATCACTTTTCAAATAACCATATATGCTTTATAGAAATTCTACATTATTTCTGATCAACAATATGTCAACAACATATATTCATCAGAAATTCTATAGTGCTCCCACTCACTTCTTTGGAAATACAAGTTTCTCATAAACTTTGTATAAACCTAAAATCTTTGATCATCTCACCAAAGCGTATATTCCAACTCTGAGACGCTTACTCCAGTCCTTAAAGGATTGATGGAGCTTTGCATACTTGTTAGCATCTTTCAGGATTGTCAAAACCTTATGTTTGTATCACATACAACCTTTCCTCAAGAAAATCGTCGAGCAAACAATGTTTTGACATCCTATCTGCAAGATTTTATAAATAATGCAGTAACTGCTAATATAATTCTAACAGACTCTTAGCATCGCTACGAGTGAGAAAGTCTCATCGTAGTCAACTCCTTGAACTTGTCAGAAAACATCTTAACGACAAGTCGAGCTTTCTTAATGGTGACACTTACCATCATTGTCTGTCTTCCTTTTAAAATCCATCTGTACTCAACAACCCTACACTACTAGGGAAAACCTTATACACAGAAATTTAGCAACAACGCGGGTAAAAAAAGGGCGTTAGTGCTAGATAGTAGTAGCGTTTGAGAAAAAGCCGCGCTACAGATACAACCTTAGCAGTAGCGCGTGTGGTGGCAAAAGAGCTACTACTAATATTCTCATTGCTAGAATGATAGGATACGCATAGCAGTAGCGGGCTTGGAAGAAGGGCGCTACCGCTAGGGCATAAGTAGTAGCGCGTTTCCTAAGAAGAGCGTGTTAACGATCAAATTACCCGGCTTGAAAATGCTATAGCCAAAATTTATGACAAGCAAGCCACCTTAGTCAATAAGATGGCCGCTAAACCAAAAAAATTACATTAGAATAATGATGAGGATCTTAAAGTTATTGATGCATCTCCGATTAGATCTATGTTTTGCAATATGAATTTTGATGATTATGGGAGTGATGATGAATCCACTTTGCCTAGAAGGCGTCCCAAAAAAACGGAGTCTTTAGATCTTGATGCTAAATTTGGTAAAAGAGAGATTGGAGAATCCTCAACTTCTAATAATATTGAACCTACTATCTCGGATTTCAAGGAATTTGATTATGATAATTGTTCTTTAAAAGGGTGTATTTCCTTGTTGTAATCCGTTGTTAATTCTCCTCATGCTTATAGTCAAAACAAAGCTTTTACCAAACATATTGTTGATGCCTTGATGCAATCTTATGATGAAAAACTTAATTTGGAAGTTTCTATACCTAGAAAACTTAATGATGAGTGGGAAGCTACTATAAAGATTATAATTAAAGATTATGAGTGTTTTTCTTTGTGTGATTTGGGTGCTAGTGTTTCCACGATTCCGAAAACTTTATGTGATATTCTAGGTTTCCATGATCTTGATGATTGCTCTTTAAATTTGCACCTTGCGGATTCCACCATTAAAAAGCCTATGGGAAGGATCAATGATGTTCTTATTGTTGCAAATAGAAATTTGGTGCCCGTAGATTTTATCATTCTTGATATAGATTGCAATCTTTGTTGCCCTATTATTCTTGGTAGACCTTTCCTTAGAACGATTGGTGCGATTATTGATATGAAGGAAGGGAACATTAGATTCCAATTTCCATTAAAGAAAGGCATGGAGCACTTTCCAAGAAAGAAAGTCAAATTACCTTATGAATCTATCATGCGTGCTACTTATGAATTTAGTGCCAAAGATGGCACTCGTTAGATCTATCTTTGTTTTTATGCCTAGCTAGGGGTGTTAAACGATAGCGCTAGT